CCCCTCCCCCCAGCCCCAGGAGCACAACTGAAACACCACAACCCCCCCCAGGATCCCCCTCCGGGGAAACCCGCCAGGAGCCCCCCCGAACTCCCCCTTGGGCCCCCTGCCCAGACCCCCCTCCCTGGTTGCCCCCCGGTGGCTCCAGCTGTGGCCCCCCCGGCCGTGCCTCAGTTTCCCATCACGGTGCCACATGTCTGGGGAGAGGGCTCGGTCAATTTTGGGGTGACCCCCGCACCCCCCTGCCCCCCGAATTTCTCGTGTGTGTGTGTGTGTCCCCAGACGCCTCGGCACCTGGGGGGGGCAGGGGGGACACTCGGGTGACCCGGATCTGGGTCTTTTTGGGGGGGTAATTTGGGGGGTATCGTGTTCCCCCCAGTTCCGGTGCCTGCCCTGGAAGCTTCCAGCGGGGGGAGCGTGGGGGTGCGGGTGCACCCCGAGGTGACAGCGGGTGACAGGGGGTGACGTGGGGGGGTGACGTGGGGGGGGTGATGCGGTGGCGCCTGCGCCAGCACCTAAAAATATCCCGCCGAGTCAGAGCCACGCACCGGCACCCAAAATACCCCGGGGGGGCACGCGGCGGGGGGGCACCCCCAACACACCCACACCAAAAATACCCCGGGTGTCTGGGTGGGCACGTGATGGGGGGGGAACACAAATGGATGACGCCCCGGCACCCCCGAACCCACGGCAGGTGTAGGATGGTTTGGGGGGTCCAGGAAGTGGGGTCAGGATGCCTGGGGAGGTCCAGGGGGTCGCTGTGCTCCAGGAGATTGGGGTGGTCCAGGCTGGGGGTTCAGAATGGTTCTGGGGCGGGTCAGGGGGCCGGGGGGGGCAGAGAGTGCTTTGCGGGGGCTTCTGGTGCCCGCCGGGGTCTGGGCTCTGCTGCAGCCGGGGCAGAGGAAGATGATGGTGAAGGCCGTGATGAAGGGTCTGACCCCACCAGTGTCTCCAGGGGAGGGGACAGGGAGCAGGCCCATCCCCCTGGCGCTGGCACCCTGAATCCCATGTCCCCCACCCTGTCCCTGGCTCCGGGTCCCCTCCGGGCACTGGGGCTTGGGGCACTCGGGGTCCTCGGGATGGGGGACACGGGGAGGGGACTGTGGGCAGCATGGGGGCACAGATGGGGTGGCAGCGGGACAGTAGGGACGTGCCCACGGGGACAAGGGGGACAGGGCTGGGGGGCAAAGGGCCAGGGGAACACAGAGTTCATGGATGGGGACACAGGGGACAGTAGGGACGTGGCCACGGGGACAGTGGGGACACGTGTGGGGCCACATCCAGGAGGGCACAAAGGCAGGGACATGGAGGCCCTGGGGGGGGTCCTTGGGTGCCACGGGGCTATGGACAGGGGTGTGGGGTGGAGGGGCCATACTGGTACAGGTGGGTGCTGTGGGGTCCGTGGGGTGGTACCGGTGGGTGCTGGGGGGTCTCGGCTGGGCCGGTGGTGCCACAGCCCCCAGAGCTCTGTGCTCAGCACGTCCTGCCGTGCCCACAGCACCCACCCACGGCACCCTGAGAGCCTTCCCCGCTCCATGGCCACCACCCTGATGCTCCATGGCCACCATACCAGACTCATAGAATCCCAGGATCCCTGAGGTTGGAAAAGCCCTCCCAGCCCATGGATCCACCCCGTGCCCCATCCCCACCTTGTCCCCCAGCCCAGAGCACTGAGTGCCACGGCCAGGCCTTCCTGGGACACCTCCAGGGCTGGGCACTCCAAACCTCCCTGGGCAGCCCCTGCCAAGGCCTGACAGCCCTTTCCAGCAACAAATTCCTCCTCAGCCCCAACCTGACCCTCCCCTGGCCCAGCCTGAGGCCGTTTCCCCTTGGCCTGGCCCTTGTTCCCTGGCAGCAGAGCCCGACCCCCCCCGGCTCCCCCCTCCTGGCAGGGACTTGCAGAGCCAGAAGGTCCCCCCTGAGCCTCCTTTGCTCCAGGATGAGCCCCCCCAGCTCCCTCAGCCCCTCCTGCTGCTCCAGACCCTTCCCAGCTCCCTCAGCCGCTCCTCACAGGACTTACCTGGCCCCAGCCCCCCCATCAGAGCCCCCCCGGTCAGTCCAGGTCCCCCAGAGCTGTGCCAGGCGTGGGGTGGCCCCACGGTGCTGTTGGTCCCTGCTGTGGACACCGGTGTGTCCCCCCCGTGCCCCGGCTGTGCCCATAGCCCCGAACCCCCCACGGCCCTGCAGCCCCCCTGCAGCCCCCCACCCCCACCGTGCGTCCCCCCAGCTCCGTGTCCCCAACGCCCGTGGCTCTGAGGGGGCACGTCGGGCACACGCTGGAGGACACACGTGGGGTGCCCATCCCCCTGGGCCACCAGCCCTGGGGTGCCCGTCTGGGGGTGCCCATCCCCGTGGGATTCCAGTACAGCACCAGCAGAGCTGACCTGATCCAGTACAGCCCAGTACAGCCCACCACGACCCAGTTCTGCCCAGTACAGCCCAGTACACCCTGGTACAGTATGGCCAGACCCAGTACAGCCCAGTACAGCCCAGTACAGCCCAGTACAAACCAGTACAATCCTATGTGACACAATCCAGTTCAGTACAGCCCAGTACAACCCAGTAGGAGGATACAGTACAGCCCAGTATGATCCAATAGAATACAGCCCAGTATGATCTAGTATGGCCCAGTACAGCCTAGTACAGCCCAGTATAACCCAGTACAGCCCAGTACAACACAGGCTGGAGGTACAGTCCAAACGGTCCCTCCGTACCCCCCCCGTCCCTACCCCTGTCCCCTTCCTGTGTCCCCCCGTCCCCATCCCAGTCCCAGAGCTGGACACAACCCCAGGGGTGCCCCAGGGTACCCCCCGGGTGTGCACCCCCAATTCCCCACACCCCCCAAGGCACAGCCCCCTCGGAGGTGCCCCCTGCCCGACCTCCCCTCCCTCTCTGGGGGTCCCGGGGTGCCACGGCCCCATCCCTGCACTGGCCTTTATAGGCACCCCCAGCCCGGGGGGGCCCCAGCGCCCATAATCCCCCCCCTAAGCAGCTTCTGCTCATCCTTCCTGCCCCCCGAGGGTCCCACGGGTGGAGGGGGCGGGGGGGCAGGAAGAAGCTGGGGGTCATCTGGGATTTGAGTCCCTATCAGCACACCCCCAAAGTGACCCCCCACCCAGGTACCCTCAAAGCAACCCCCACCCAGGCACCCCCCAGTTTTTCACCATCCAAGGTGAACTTGGGGAGTCGACTGATCAACTCCCCAAGCAGTGCCCCCACCCCTTAACCCCTCCCAGCTCTCCCCACCTCACATGGGGACAATCACTGGGGGGTGACACCGGCGGGGGGGACATCCTGGGGTGCTGGGGAAGGCAGGGGGTGATCTCATGGGGAGGACCCCAAGTTCTACCCAGGGCAATCAGGGCCAGGCCATCCCAGGGGGGCAGGATCAAGGGTGAGGACCCCCAAGGACACCTGAGGACACCTGGCCATCCTGGTGGGACCAGGACCAAGCTTGGGGGCACCTGGGGACACCGGGGCAAGCTGGGGGGAGCAGGATTGAGCTTGGGCATCCCCGGGGACCCTCCCCACACCCAGGTGTGTGGGGGGAGCTCTTCCGCCCCCCCAAATCCCCCCGAGCCCCGGCAATCGGCTCGGCCTGGCTCAGGGGGGCGATTAGGCGCTGAGCCCGGCTTAGCCCCCCCTAATCCCCAAGTTTGGCCGAGCTGAGCCCTGATCCCCCCTAAGCGGCTTTAGGGGCGCAGGGTATATCAGGGGGGCGGTCGCTGCGCCCCCCCCACCGCCGCCATGGACGAGGAAGATTTCTACCTGTTCAAGAACCAGTCAGGGGTGGGGCCCTGGGATGGGCCCCAGTACCACCTGGCGCCCAAGTGGGCCTTCTACCTGCAGACCATCTTCATGGGGGTGGTGTTCCTGGTGGGCACCCCCCTGAACGCCATCGTCCTCATCGTCACCATCAAGTACAAGAAGCTGCGGCAGCCGCTCAACTACATCCTGGTGAACATCTCCGTCAGCGGCTTCATGTGCTGCATCTTCAGCGTCTTCACCGTCTTTGTCTCCAGCTCCCAGGGATACTTCATCTTCGGGAAGCACGTGTGTGCCTTCGAGGGCTTTTCGGGGGCCACCGGAGGTACGGGAGGACCACGGGGGCACCGGGGGCTGGAGGTGATGGAGTGACCACCGGGGCTGCTGGGGCCGGAGGTGATGGAGTGACCACCAGGGTTGCTGGGGCCAGAGATGACCACTGTGATCTCCTGTGCTGTGGGAGTTGGGTTGATCACCATGGGCTGCTGGGTGCAAGACCTGGGGTGACCATCTGGACCTGTAGGAGTTGACCGCTATAGTCTGGTGGGGCCGTAGTTGTGGTGACCAGTGGGGTCCGGGGGAGCTGTAGGGAGGGGTGACCCCGCATTCTACTGGGCCCGTAGGAGTTGGGGTGACCCCGTGACCTGGGGGTGCTGTGGGACATGGGGTGACCCGTGGCCCCAGTGGCCACAGGTGGGGTGCAAGGCAGTGGCCGTGTCCTCCCAGGGCTGGTGACAGGGTGGTCCTTGGCCTTCCTGGCCTTCGAGCGCTACATCGTCATCTGCAAACCCTTCGGCAACTTCCGCTTCAACTCCCGCCACGCGCTGCTGGTCGTGGCGGCCACCTGGGCCATCGGCATCGGCGTCGCCATCCCCCCCTTCTTCGGCTGGAGCAGGTGGGGCTGTGGGGGCACAGGGGGGCTTGGGGGGCGAGGGGGGCCCACGGAGTGCCAGGAGGGAGGTGAGACACCCAGCAGTGCCCCGGGGTGCCAGGAGGGTGGTGAGACACCCAGCAGTGCCCCGGGGTGCCAGGAGGGTGGTGAGACACCCAGCAGTGCCCCGGGGTGCCATGGGGGTGGTGAGACACCCGGCAGTTCCGCAGGGGTGCCACGGGGGTACCATGGGGTGCCAGGGGGTGCCACTTGGTGCGAAGCAGAGGCTGAGTGCAGGTGCTGCAGGTACCTACCCGAGGGGCTGCAGTGCTCCTGCGGCCCTGACTGGTACACGGTGGGCACCAAGTACAAGAGCGAGTACTACACCTGGTTCCTCTTCATCTTCTGCTTCATCGTCCCCCTCTCCCTCATCATCTTCTCCTACTCCCAGCTGCTCAGCGCCCTGCGGACCGTGAGTCCCAGGGGCACGGGGGGCACGGGGGACACTGGAGCTGGGTGTGCCTGGGAGAAGGGCAGGGGGATGGAGGGTGGAGAGAGGCTGGGAGGGGTGAGAGGGAGGAAGAGATGGAGCGGAGGGAGGGATGGAGAACTGACTGGAAGGAGGGCGGGAGGGGAGGAGGAGGGGGAAGAAAGAGAGGGAAGGGAGGGAGGATGGGAGGGAGGGAGGGAGGGAGGAAGGACAGGCTGCTTGATCAGAAGGGTGGGCAGGAGCACAGGCAGGTGCCCAGGCAGGGGGTCGGGCAGGGGATCAGGGGGCTGGGCAGGCCCAAGGTGCCCCTGTCCCCGTCCCCATCCCAGGTGGCAGCACAGCAGCAGGAGTCGGCCACGACGCAGAAGGCGGAGCGGGAGGTGTCGCGCATGGTCGTGGTCATGGTGGGGTCCTTCTGCCTGTGCTACGTCCCCTACGCGGCGCTGGCCATGTACATGGTGAACAACCGCGACCACGGCCTCGACCTGCGCCTCGTCACCGTCCCTGCCTTCTTCTCCAAGAGCGCCTGCATCTACAACCCCATCATCTACTGCTTCATGAACAAACAGGTGACACCGCGGGACAGGGGGACACACCATGAACACACGGGGTGTAAGGGACGTCCAGGGATACCTGGGGACACCTGGGGACACGTGGTCGTGGCCAGGGCCACCAACAGGGCTGGCACGTACCGAGGGATGGGAGATGGGGCCAACGTGGCATCAGGGGTGTGAGGACAGTGCCAGAGCCGGAATTGGGGCCAGTGGGGCCCTCGGGCTGAGCTGTCCCCTGCCCCCTGTGCCCCCCAGTTCCGCGCCTGCATCCTGGAGACAGTGTGTGGGCGGCCCATGAGCGACGACTCCGAGGTGTCCAGCTCGGCCCAGCGCACCGAGGTCTCCTCCGTGTCCTCGAGCCAGGTCAGCCCCAGCTGAGGGGCTGCGGCACCGCCCTGGACCCCACGACCCCCGGCTGCCCCCCCGGACCCCCGGCTGCCCCCCCGGACCCCCGGCTGCCCCAGCTGTGGGGCTGGCGCTGCCCCGGGGGTCCGGGGTCCCTGGCCAGCCTAGGATGTAGCGCGGGTGGGACAATAAACCACGGCCGCGGTCTGAGCGCAACGGGGACCCTCTGCAGGATGGGGGACACGCTGTGGGAACCCCTGTGGGACTCTCTGCAGGATGGGGGACACGCTGTGGGAACCCCTGTGGGACCCTCGGGATGGGGGACACGCTGCGGGAACCCCTGTGGGACCCTCGGGATGGGGGACACACTGTGGGAACCCCTGTGGGACCCTCGGGATGGGGGACACGCTGTGGGAACCCCTGTGGGACCCTTGGGATGGGGGACACACTGCAGGAACCCCTGTGGGACCCTCGGGATGGGGGACACGCTGTGGGAACCCCTGTGGGACCCTCGGGATGGGGGACACACTGTGGGAACCCCTGTGGGAACCTCGGGATGGGGGACACACTGCACACCCCACGGCAGGGCAGGATGGGGGTCCCGGGGGTGACTGTACCCCATAGTTGGGTGGGATGGGGGTCCCGGGGGTGACTGTACCCCATAGTTGAGTGGGATGGGGGTCTCAGGGGTGACTGTACCCCACAGTTGGGTGGGATGGGGGTCTCGGGGGTGACTGTACCCCATAGTTGAGTGGGATGGGGGTCCCGGGGGTGACTGTACCCCATAGTTGAGTGGGATGGGGGTCCCGGGGGTGACTGTACCCCACAGTTGGGTGGGATGGGGGTCCCGGGGGTGGCTGTGCTCCACAGCAATGCCATGGTGGGACTCTGCTCCCTTGTCCCCTGCAGGCCCCACAGGCAGTGGGGGGGCAGGGAAGTGGGATGCTGCCCCTCCACCTCCATCCACGGGGCTGGGCTGGGGCTGAAGCCCCCATTTATAGGGCTGGGCTGGGGCTGGATCCCCCCCATGGGGCTGGGGTGGGGCTGAGCCCCCCATTCAGGGGGCTGGGGTGGGGCTGGATGCCCTACATGTGGCTGAGGTGGGGCTGGCTCTCCCCATCTGTGGGGCTGGTATGGGGCTGGATCCCCTCCATGGGGCTGAGCCCCCCCAATCTCCAGGGCTGAGGGCCAGGACTCCCCTCAGGCCCCATGACACTCCCCCCCTGAACCCCCAAATCCATCCCCCAGGCCCCCCCACCCCCTCCCCTTCCCTGGGCTCCCCCTGCCCACACTCTCCCGGCTCATTTGGGGGGGGTTCCCCCAGATCCCGGTTTGGGGGGACACAGGAACTGGGGTCTGGCCCCCCGGCCCATGGGGGTTGAACAGTTTATTGAGCCCCGGCCGACCCGGATCCCTTCAATCAGCCAGAGCAGAGAACCCAATAAACCCAGAGGAGGCGAAAAATCCGTGTCCGGAGTCGTCAGTGGGACACAAATCCTCATGGATGGGGGGTGCACTGGGGGGGATGCCAGGGGAGCTTTCCTGCTGTTCCCAAAATCATGGCTGCTGTCCCAAATCATCCCTGGTGTCCCAAAGACCCCCCGCATTCCCAGATCCCTGAGCCCAGCGTGGGGACAAGTTCCCAAAGCGCTCGCCCCTGGATTTAGGGATGGGGAGGTGGGAGAGGAGGAGAAGGAAGAGGAAGAGCAGGAGGAGGGAGGATCCAGTCAGCACTTGGAAACCCTTAGAAAACAATTTAAGGGAAAACCCAGGAATCTGGGGGTGGCCAGACCAACTTCACACAGCTCCGGGGGCTGCGGGCAGGGACAAACGACACAGAAGAGGGAAAACATTGGGAATTATCCCAGAGCGGGGTGGGATGGCTGGATGAGCCCCCCCCAAGCCCGGGTTTGGGGGATTCAAGGCACTTGGAGTGGGGCCGGGGGGGCCTGGCCAGATCTTGGGGGGCAACAATGGGGGAGGGGGGTTCCCACACCCCGGGGTCACCTCCCCTGGGGCCCCCTCTGGGTGCCCCCCGGAACCTCCCGGGGTCCTGCTGCTGCTCTGATGGGTTTGGGGTTTTCTGGGGGCTTTGAATTCTCATTCCAATTTCACGTCAATGTTTCCGTTTAATTTGATTTCACTTCCCAAGTTCAAATTCCATTTCAATTTCCAATTTTCATTTTAATGTCTAATTCTAATTTTAGTTTCAATTCCAACTTAAATTCCAATTGTAATTTTAATTCCAATTTTACTTTCAATTCAAATTCCAATTTTAATTCCAATTCCAACTTTAGTTCCAATTTTAATTCCAATTTGCCAACTTTCACTCCAATTCCAACTTTTATTCCACCTCCAATCCCAATCCCGCCGTGAATTCCCCGCTGCCCCGGGCGGCCCCGTCGCTGCCCCCGTGCCGGGGGAGCCGTTTCCACACGCGGTAAAACCAAAACATACAAAAATAACCCAAAAGTCGTTAAAATCCCAGGAAAACCCACGAGACGAGCCCCGAGTGCCGGGGAGGGTGTGGCTTTCCTGAGCCCCATCCCTGGGCGCCGGGATGGGGTTTCCCGTGGCGGGAGCGGCCTGGGCGCGGGCGCAGCCCTGAGCAGTGCCGGCGAGGCCTAGAACTCGTCGTGCCGCACCAGCGCCTCCCCGAAGTCCGTGGCCTGGCTGCCCACGAACAGGTCCGACTTGTCCACGATCTCCTCCCGCGTCAGCTTCCCGTCCTGCAGGGAATGCCACATCCCGCTATTGCCCCCGCTCCTCCCACCCCGCTCCCGAAATCCCACCGGAGCGCGGGCCCACCTTGTCCTGGTCGGACTCGTAGACGAGGTGCCGGGCCTCGGCCTCGGCGTGGTCGTAGTCCGAGGGCAGGATCCAATCCTTGGTCTCCTCCTTGTCCATCTTCCCATCCCGGTTCTTGTCTCGGAATTCCACAAACTGTTCCCGCTCCGTCTTCACCCACTCGGGCTCGTCAGCGTCGCCATCCTGGCTGTACATGTCACCTGTGGGGAGAGTGGGATCGGGATCCTCCCGACCACCATAGCCCCGTCCCCGTCCCGAGGACTGACCCGAAGCCTTGAGCTCCCCGAGTCCATCCCCAAAATCCCAAAGCACCCTTTGGACCAGGATTTCACCCCCAAATCCTCAACACTGGCACAAGGCGGGGGGCAGAAGTTGAAAGGTTGGAAGAGAGAACATTCCCAGAGGGGGAGGGATGGGAAGGATGTGCCGGCAGCGGCTGACACTGTGTGGGGAAATGGAAGGGACATGGAGGGGACATGGAGCACCGTGGCTCCGGCGTCTCACCGATGTACTCCTCCAGGTCGATGAAGCCGTCACCGTTCTTGTCAATGTCCTCCATGGTTTCCTGCATGGAGACACCGGCGTGAGCCAGGCCCGGAGTGATTCCCAGCCCCCAGCGCTCCCCTCACCAGAGCTTCCTGGGAACACTCCATTCCCAACGTCTCCGTGCCAGCCCCACCTGCACGACGATGTCCTTCATGTAGTCGTACTCCTCGGGGTGCAGGAAGGCCGTGAACTCCTCCTTGGTGGCCGCCAGGTCCCCGTCCTTGTCGGCCATCTTGAAGCGCCGCTCGTCCCGCACCATCATCTGCTTGTAGTTGAAGCCGTCGTCGGGGTCCGGATCGTCTGGGAAGGAGCAGAGGGAGCGCCCAGATCAGGTCAGGCAGGGGAGAGACCATGGTCACCACCAACCCAAGCCAACCCCAAGCCAACCCAAGCATAACCCAACTCAACCACAGCCTCAACATCCTCACCCTCAAACTCAACCCCAGCTCAACCTCCTCAGCGGGCCCTTCTCACCCTCAACTTCCTCAGCACAACCTCAACCTCCTCCACCCAACCTCAACCCCCCACCTCAGCTCAACCTCCCAGTGCTTCGCCACCGCAGCCTCAAGGGCAGCTCCCGGCAGCCGCCGCGTCTCCCCTGCGCCCGTTCCCAGGAGGAGGAGGAGCTGCAGCAGCCCCGGGATCGCGGCATTCCCAGGGAGAGGCCCCAGTAGACAGGGCTCGGGGGGTTTGGCGGGCACGGTTGGAGGCTCAGCCGGAGCTATTTCGGGAGGGGAATGTGTAAGGGGATCTCGCTCGCTGCCGGGGCGGCAGCAGAGCCGGGAGGCATCGGCCGGGTGGGATGGTGGGGTCACTCGGCACAGCCCCGCCGGCAGCGGGAGAGGAGCTCCGGGACACGGGGCCGGCAGCCCATGGAGAACATGGATCCAGGAGGACGTGGCTGTGGCCACGCTCTGGTTAAGTTAAACCAGAGCCAGGCCTGGTCTAAAAAACAGGCTCCAAAAGGCTCCGTCCCTTTGTCCCTGCTCCGCTACCTGGGACAAAAGGCAGGGATTACAGAGCTCTGGATCAAGGGACTCCGGATTAGGAAGCTCTGGAGCAGCCCCAGAGCCATTAAATATCTAAAGATTTTGATTTTAAGGCATGTCTAGGGTAGAATGAAGCCAAAATTCCCTATTCTATTCCCAAGGTTTCGCCTCGGGAAGCGGCACAGCCCCAAGCAAGGAAACCCTCGGGATTGGGCCCATTCCTTATTTGCTGTCGGGCCAATCGATGAGTCTGATGGAGGGCAGGGGGCAGGTGGGTTAAAAATGGTCACACACATTCCCCCCCAAGACCCCCAAAGCCACTTTGTGTCTCGGTCCCTGGGCAGGGGGAGGTTTGGGGGAGCAGATGGAGAAGCTTCTCCTGGAATGAGTGTTCCTGGTTTCAGATCCCAGCCTAGGACTCAGGAGTTAACAAAAACAGGATGACGATGATGATGATGATGATGATGATTCAGATCCCACCCCAGGATTGAGGAGTTAACAAAAATGGGATGATGATATGATGATGATCATTCTATTTTGATTTTGAAGGGAGTTTCAAAGGGATTTTCACTCTCAGATGAAGCTCTTGGACATTCATCACTTGGTATTCCCTGCTTCCCGGAATTCCCCCAGCAGAGCCCCGCACGGCTCTGTGACACCTCTGGGGGCCACCTGGTGACTCATCCCCATGTTTAATTAATTAATTAATAAAACCATCCCCCCCCAGCACCTGGTTTTGCTGACAAAACGCTGTGTTCCCAACCCCCTGGAGCAGTCAAGGGCGGTGCCCGGCCCCACACAACCCTCGGCTGCACGCCAGCGCTCCGGAGGCACTTCCAGAGGCATTCCAGCCCTGCTCCGGC